GATCAGTTAGTTTATGGTATGAGGATCCTAATGTTGAATATGCTAAAGGGAAGCATGCTGGACTATTTGGATTTGCCCTATTGGTCACTGTTTTCTTTGTCATACCATACACACTGTTCCTTTTATGTCATCCAGTACTTGAGAAGTATTTGTCACATTTTAAACTGTTTAGGAGATGGAGTCATTTCAAGCCTATTATTGATGCTTACAGTGGTCCGATGAAAGATGAGTATCGGTTTTGGCCTGGTCTACTCCTAGTGGCTAGGATACCAGTACTTTTAACTGTCACCTTTTTGAAGAATGAATCACGTGTCTTGCTATTGGCAGTAGCAGCTTTTATCCTCTCCCTTAGTTTTATCTTTGGTGGTGTGTACAGAAAGAAATTGAACAATATCATTGAATTTTGGTTCCTATTAAACTTGTGCATCATGGCTTCTTTATCTATAGCCTTTATTGATGAGAGTAAAGTATTGATCTGGTACAATACTTGTTTATCTGTTTTTATTTTTAATTTTATTTTGATTGTTGTTTATCATCTTTACCTGCAGTTATCCCATATGAAATGTTATGATGGTCTAATTAAGAAGTTATTCAAGAAACAAGATGAAGATGATGAAACTCTTTTAGATGAAACTGAATCACATCTAACTGTTGATGAACAAAGGAGAGCTATGGTGCCAAGTTCTACTGATGTTAGACGCTGTGCTAGTCGTGAATCAGTTGTTGAATTGTTTTAAATCTTTTGGTGCAAATTAGTCTTATGCTATTACTGTTTCAGAAACTAATCATAAAAAATAATTTCTCAAAATAATAATAATAATAACAGCAATAGTAAATACATTTAAAGCATAATATTACTATTATGACAACAAGATAATACAATAATAATAATAACAATAATAACAACAATAATAACAGTATGTGGCAAATACTTTGTTTGTTTCTCTTCATTTTTATGAAATTATTTTAAACACATTGCTTGGAAGTGTATACAGTCCATGGCCTTTCCTGCTGTAATAATAATAATAATAATAATAATAATAATAATAATAATAATAATAATAATAATAATAATAATAAAAATAAAAATAATAATAATAATAATAATAATAATAATAATAATAATTGTTATTGTTGTTTATTGTATTTTGTATTATTTTTGTTTGCTTTACTTATTTATTTTTGTTTGTTTATTACTATTATATAATTTATTCTTGCTTTTGTTTTCCTCTTTTCTGTTCTCCTTTTTTTGTCTCCCTCTACTACACGTATCTCTAGTGTTTGTTTCTTAGGCCATTTATTATTATTGTAATTCATAATAATAATAATAATAATAATAATAATAATAATAATAATAATAATAATAATAATAATAATAATAATAATAATAATAATAATAATAATAATAATAATGAGATTATTAACGGAAAGCATGAAAAAGGGATTAGTCCTTACCAGTGAAAATAGCGTTGACCATCTTTATAGGTTCCATCATAACTTTTACCATTTGTTCCTTCTCCTAACAAAATAACAGTTATAAAGAAATATAAAAATAATCTTTACTATTATTACCATACAGCAAAATTTTTGAGGGCTGTAAGATTTGCAAAAATTAATTTATAGTACGGGTCAAAAAGCCGAACAATATAATTTTGCAATTTTTTTGGCAAATTCCCAAAATTTGTAGCCCTCAAAAATTACAGTATTACTGCATTAGCATACTTGGTAGCTCCAGTTCAACACCACACTGTTCCTTCCCAATATATCTCAGGAGTCCTTGCTCATAGATACCATCCTTCCTCTTCACTACTACTATACTGCCTATCGGCATCTCTTCTAATACTCCAGGCACTATCACTGACTGCTTCTCTCCGGTCTTTGTTCTTACAATCACTTGAGATGAAGTTGAAGTAGTTGCTTTAGAAGCTCCTCTTAGGTGAGTATGACAGGGAATTGCCTCTTTGCTACTTTTGTGGATTGATGATCGAGTATGACGTGAAAGTGATGGAGAAGTTTTTTGTTTAATGTCTGTGGAGTGTTTTGTAGTTGGAGCTGAAGGTCCTGATTGAAATGAGTCGCTGACAGCTGTTAGATATAATTCATTATCTTCCTCCATCTCTTCTTCATTACTTACATGTACATGCTCTGCCTCCTGATTTGCATCACTATTACCTCCTCCATCATCATCATCATCATCATCATCTCTATCAGTATCATGTGCAGCAAGACTCTGTAATAGTTGCTCCTTCTCTTGTAACTGGCTATGAAGCTTTGCTATGGCTTCCTTAGAACCTTTCTTGAGTTCAGAGAGCTCGCTCTTTCTTTTCTTATACTTAACAGCCCAGGCTTGCTTCTCTTCCTGATACTTCAACAGTTCTTCTCTAAGACTCAATATGGTGGATTCTTTCAGTGATAATTGTTCATCGCATGAAGCTCTCAGGGTCTTCATTGCTTCCTTTGTGGTGTCCCTCTCTGTCTTGTACTTGCTAATCCTTTGTTCTATTTTAGCTATTGTTTCTTCATTCAGTGCAGCATCAAGGTGTTCCTTCAGCTCACGGTTTCCCTCAGTGTGGAAGTGAAGTGATTCCGTTAATTTTGATATCTCTGTCTCCTTCTCTTTGAGTTTTTTGGACATGGAAACCACCTACAGCAAGCAAAAAAGGAACAAAGAGTTATTAGCATGAAATTACAATAGACAAATATTTGTTCCTGATTTTAAAATGAGCATTTTCAAACCCAACCAATTTTTGAAAAATACCCAAGCTTGATATAGCCCATGGTTTTTCCAAAAAATGGCTCCAAAATCATCTCAAATTTTTATTAAATTTTTTGATACACATTGATGTTCTTATGCTGTGTACAAAGTTTGAGCTGATTCCAACAAACATTTTTTGAGTTATAACCATTAAAAAATCGGCCAATTTTAAAAAAATACCCAAGGCTATAGCCCATGGTTTTTTCCGAAAAATGGCTCCGAAATCACCCCAAATTTTTATTACATTTTCTGATACATATTAATGTCCTTATGCTATGTAGAAAGTTTGAGCTGATTCCGACAAAATTTTTTCAAGTTACAGCCATTTTAAGAAAATGCCAAAATTCTGAAAAATACTCAAGGCTATAGCCCATGCTTTTGTCCAAAAAATGGCTCCGAAATCATCCCAAATTTTTTATTACATTTTCTGATACATATTGATGTCCTTATGCTGTGTAGAAAGTTTGAGCTGATTCTGACTTCAATTTATCAAGTTACGGCCATTTTAAGAAAATGGCAAAATTCTAAAAAATACCCAAGGCTATAGCCCATGGTTTTTTCTGAAAAATGGCTCTAAAATCACCCAAAATTTTTAATACATTTTCTGATACACATTGATGTCCTTATGCTATGTAGAAAGTTTGAGCTGATTCTGGGTTTAATTTTTCAAGTTACGACGATTTTAAGAAAATGCTAAAAAATGTGAAAAATACTCAAGACTATTATAGCCCATGATTTTTTCCGAAAAATGGCTCCAAAATCACCCCAAATTTTTATTACAGTTTTTGATACATATTGATGCCCTTATGCTATGTAGAAAGTTTGAGCCAATCCCGACTTCAATTTTTTAAGTTACGGCCATTTTAAGAAAATGCCAAAATTCTGAAAAATACCCAAGGCTATAGCCCATGGTTTTTCCAAAAAATGGCTCCAAAATCATCTCAAATTTTTATTACATTTCCTGATACATATTGATGTCCTTATGCTGTGTAGAAAGTTTGAGCTGATTCTGACAAATTTTTTTGAGTTACGGCCATTTTAAGAAAATGCCAAAATTCTGAAAAATACCCAAGGCTATAGCCCATGGTTTTTCCAAAAAATGGCTCCAAAATCACCCTAAATATTGATGCCCTTATGCTATGTAGAAAGTTTGAGCTGATTTCGAAAAATATTTTTCAAGTTATGGCCATTTAAAGAAATTGGTCAATTTTTGAAAAATGCAGTTTTTTCAAAAATTGGCTCAAAAATCACCCCTAATTTTATTCAAAGCCATTACATAATTACATATACTGTACCTCTTTCTTCAGTTTAGCATATTTCTCTGGATCACATGATTCAACTAGTTCAGCATTTCTCTGTGACAGTTCAGCCTTCTCAGCCTTCAATGAGTGTATTGTGTTCTCCATCTTGAGCCTCAGACTCTGTAGCTCCTGTACTTGTCTCATACTATCATGTCTTGAATCTGATGATGACTGGCTCTGCATGCAATTAAAAACATACATTATGGTACAACTGTAGTGTAGACGGGTTTATAGTTTAGTTATAGTTAAATGTACAAGTATAAAGGACTGGTATGCATCAGTGAATCAATGCCCTGTACAAGTAACTCAAATTAATAGTGACTGAGAATTAGTCCAAACTTTTAATACTGAAATACAGTACTAATCATGGGCGGTTGTAGAAATTTGGTTTGACCTGGGCATCAATAATTAGTGGGTGTGGTTCCATACATTTTTGTAAGGAAAATGGAAAATACTGATCTATAACTTCATTGAGATGGTTTCTTAGCATAAAACAACAAAGAAGCCTGTTGAACTACCACAGTTTACACTGGATGCCCACACCAGAATCATGAATATAATTATTGGTCAAAAGTCAACCTGGGCATCGCCCCCTATGCCCAGGACTGCGGTCAGTACTAATACTGTAGTCATCATAAAATTGAGATAATTTCAGAGTTCAATTTTAACATAAGACATACATGTACATGTACACTGAGTACATGCCTATAATTGACAAAAATTCTGCCTGAAAAAATTTGCTACTACACAGTATTACTCCATTCCTCTTCTTTTACCTTCAAGTGTTGTTCCAGCTGTTCTTCTGCTGCTAGTTTGTCTATTGAGAGTTGAGCTAAGAGGCTCTTCAGTTCATCCATTTCATTGGCCTCGCCTACGCGAGGTATAGGTAGTTGTTGTGTGTGTCTGTCATTCATTCATTCATTCTGTACAACTGAAATTTGTTTTTAATAAACAATAACTTTAGCACAGCGTGTTCTAAGCTCCTAGATCTTTCTTTTTGACGTGGAAAAGTCTTTTTTAACTGTTTTGTGTTGCTTAAATACAAGTGCTAGGTACAGAAGCTTCAAAGTAAGAAAATCGAGTAGTTGGGCCAAGTTCCGTTGTGTTGGCACTTTAGAGATAGCTGGTAGCATTTTTCAGTAGATTAGAACATGACCTTCAAAAATTATGAACAGATTTCTCTAAATCTTACTTGAAGAAGAGTTATACTTACTTGAAATTGTTGAGGTCACTCGTTTGTGCAGCGCTAGAGCAACAACTTGCTGGGTTATAGGTACTAAAGTACCTATACTATCTCAAATATACAAAGGCAGCAACTTTTTTTGTCAGCAAGTTTATCATATATTGCTGATTAGTAAAAAAAAGTGAAGCTTCTTTCTCACATGGTCTTCTTGCTGCCACTCATGGAATGCCACACCTTTCAATCTACATGCATGGGAGGGGCTGGAGCTGCTTGCATGTATGTGCTGCAGTGCTGCTACTTCTGCAGGTATTCAAGAGCAAGTGCAACTGTAGGAAGCTAGTGTTGAGCAGACTCTCTTCATGCTAATAATCAAACAGTTATTGAAGTGCGGGCATGCACCATAGCAGCTATAGGGGCGAGGCCATGCACCGTAGGTGTCTCGTTGCTCAATGACTCAGCTCTGTCTCTCCATGCATCACACTTCTCTTGTAATGTCACAAGCTCCAACTCACCAAACTACAAGTAATGATAAAATAATGAAAATAAAGTTACAATCAGTATCATTTTGTGAAGGACAAAATAATTGCAAATTGACATACCGTATAGATGGAAAATTTTGCAGCAATTTAATTTTATGTTTTCAATAAATTTTGAATGTTTTTTAATTTTGCGAATTAAAATTATGCGATTTGGCCACGTTGTCTTGACGCGTACACATGATGCTAATGATATACGCCCATCGAACCCATGTGATTTTAATTTTACGGTTTTTAATTATGCGTTTGTTTTTAAAACGCAAAGCGCAAAATTAAATTCCCGCAAAATTTTCCGTCTATACGGTAATAGTGTTTGAATAGTGTATCTTGCATGGATTTTGGAAATTTGTGGTCACTTGTATATACAATTATAATGGTTCAAAATTGTGAGTTTTATTTTTACAAAAATGACTATGAATAGTCACCAAATCTTTCAAGTTTTAGATACTCCAAATCACCAGCTATACAACACTAGCAGTACTGATACATGAAATTAGTCAATCAGTTTTCACAGCACTGTTCAGTATTGTTGTAATAACTTCAAGCAGTGTATACAGTTTCATGATATATCGTAGATTAGGAAATTAGTGTGGTAGAAAATTTTTGTGTTTTAAAATTGTGCTATGATTTAATTTTTACTAAAAAAATCACTGTGTCATGTATTATTGAATGTGGCATGTACTGTAATTATATGGATGATCTAATTTTGTGAAAAAAAATTCTAATTCAGTAAAATTTAAATTGCAGTAAAAATTTCTAGATAGACGGTAGTTTATTTAATAAATGCTTTTATAAACTTCAATCTCCCTCAATAACACCAAACTATTGTACATGTACCTGTGTGTTCTGCAATAATAAATACTCTCCATTGATTCAGTGTTTTGTTTTTCCTACAGAGTTTATAGTTAACACATTAATTAATTATTGGCAAAACAGTGCTTATGTTTCTAGTATTTTATGAATAACAGATCAATAAATATCAACAACAAAACACTTTGTGATCATAACAGTGAGTCTGTATGGTACTACAATATCCTTTATGAAGCAAAACTTGTAGCTAAAGTTGAGAAAACAGCAACATGGGTATAAAACTGGTCACTCACTGCTGGTAAGTCTCAGTTCATATTTACAGCTATACAAGACTTAAAGAGAATATGTCTTATTGGTTTTTACTGGTGAGTTGGTTCATTCTTGTCATTGTTACTGGACAGTCATCATCAGGTATGCTAAGGTAATATTACAATTAAAGTTTATTGGTCCCATACAATAGCTTGCATCCGTCGAGATTGTAAAGACCATCGAGATTGTAAGGAGCTGTATGATGCAGGCAACAGATGTAGTGGAGTATATACAGTGAAGCCTGATGAACTACCAGCCTTTGAGGTAAATATGATATTAATATAACTATAATAAAGACGCCTTTATAATGAGGACATTTTGTAATGTCCCAATTAATACAAGCCTATACAAAAGTACCTCTGAAATGAGGACACCTCTGTAATAAGGACAGGTAGTGTGGGCCCAATGGTGTCCTTAATAAAGAGGCTACACTGTACATGTATTAAGGACAGGTAGTGTGGGCCCAATGGTGTCCTTAATAAAGAGGCTACCCTGTACATGTATTAAGGACAGGTAGTGTGGGTCCAATGGTGTCCTTAATAAAGAGGCTACACTGTACATGTATTAAGGACAGGTAGTGTGGGCCCAATGGTGTCCTTAATAAAGAGGCTACACTGTACATGTATTAAGGACAGGTAGTGTGGGCCCAATGGTGTCCTTAATAAAGAGGTACATGTATTAAGGACAGGTAGTGTGGGTCCAATGGTGTCCTTAATAAAGAGGCTACACTGTACATGTATTAAGGACAGGTAGTGTGGGCCCAATGGTGTCCTTAATAAAGAGGCTACCCTGTACATGTATTAAGGACAGGTAGTGTGGGTCCAATGGTGTCCTTAATAAAGAGGCTACACTGTACATGTATTAAGGACAGGTAGTGTGGGCCCAATGCTTTCCTTAATAAAGAGGCTACACTGTACATGTATTAAGGACAGGTAGTGTGGGCCCAATGCTTTCCTTAATAAAGAGGCTACACTGTACATGTATTAAGGACAGGTAGTGTGGGCCCAATGCTTTCCTTAATAAAGAGGCTACACTGTACATGTACATGTAATATAACTTATTGCTTATATTCAATAGGTCTATTGTGATATGAGTAAAGGAGGTGGCTGGACTGTATTTCAAAGGAGAATGGATGGTTCTGTTAACTTCTACCTCAACTGGGCTGACTATGAAAAAGGATTTGGAGACCTCAACGGAGAGTTCTGGCTGGGACTTAACAAAATAAACCGACTTACTGCAAGAAACCCCAGTTTACTCCGTATAGACCTGGAGGACTTTGCAGGGATCAAAAAATATGCTTATTACCACACCTTTGGAGTAGGGAATGCAGTTAGTAAGTATAAACTAACTGTCACTGGATACAAAGGAACTGCTGGAGATAGCCTGAGCTATCATAATGGAATGAAGTTCTCTACCAGAGATCGAGACAGTGACGGTGCCTCAGGAAACTGTGCAATAGTTTATAAAGGAGCATGGTGGTATAAGAGCTGTCATAAGTCAAACCTCAACGGTCTCTATTTGGTTGGGTCTCACTCCTCATATGCCAATGGTGTCAACTGGTATCATTTCAAGGGATACCACTATTCACTGAAGACATCCCAAATGATGCTTAAAAGGAGATAAGGGAGTCAGTCAAATCAACTAACATTGATGGACACTTGGACAGTAGCTAGTTACTTCAAGTAGATACAGTATTAGGACTTTTATGAGTAGACATGTACATGTACAGTACATGTACATGTAGCATTTTGTAGTAATCTGTAGTATTTTGGTTTTTTTTGCTAAAATATTTCACAAACTTTGTCTCTTTAATATAAAAATACACACACACACACACACGTACATGTACATGTACTATAGCAGGAGTGTGAATGGTAATAAGAACAAGAATATTAGAAAGGCCATAAAACATTAAGGGGCTCCGCCTCCTGGCTAACCACACCTCCTAGTCACGCCCAGATGTATGTACACATATATACAAAAAGATTTCATCTGAGTGTGCTTTGCTCAAGAAATGTACATGTACATGTACATGTAGGTTGGGAATATAAATACAAATTTTATCAATAGTCCCCATGGGGCCCCCTTGAAGCTAACATCACTAAAATTTTGAAATTGTGAACTAAAATTTATCATTGAATTTTGGTTCCTATTAAACTTGTGCATCATGGCTTCTTTATCTATAGCCTTTACTGATGAGAGTAAAGTATTGATCTGGTACAATACTTGTTTATCTGTTTTTATTTTTAGTTTTATTTTGATTGTTGTGTATCATCTTTACCTGCAGTTATCACATATGAAATGTTATGATGCTCTAATTAAGAAGTTATTCAAGAAACAAGATGAAGATGATGATCCTCTTTTAGATGTAACTGAATCACATCTAACTGTTGATCAACAAAGGAGAGCTATGGTACCAAGTTCTACTGATGTTAGACGCTGTGCTAGTCGTGAATCAGTTATTGAATTGTTTTAAATCTTTTGGCGCAAATTAGTCTTATGCTATTACTGTTTCAGAAACTAATCATAAAAAATAATTTCTCAAAATAGTAATAATAATAATAATAATAATGTTAATAATAATAATAATAATAACAGCAATAGTAAATATATTTAAAGCATAATATTACTATTATGACAACAAGATAATACAATAACAATAATAACAATAACAATAATAACAGTATGTGGCAATACTTTGTTTCTCTTCTTTTTTATGAAATTATTTTAAACACATTGCTTGGAAGTGTATACAGTCCATGGCCTTTCCTACTGTAATAATAATAATAATAATAATAATAATAATAATAATAATAAT